TTTGACAAGAAATCCTGAGCTTATGATATCGGTAAGATTCTATGGAACTACAGCATATCTTATAGACAAAAGTCTTATACCAATAGTTTTGTTATGGTTAGACCCAGTTGTTGGATATAACTTCATAACATATGGTTCATTCGATACTGAACGTTGCAGTGAAGGCTTACTTTACATCGTTCAGAAACCGAAGGACTTCAATACAAAGAGATATAAGATAGGAAGAACATATAATATAACTAAAAGATATGACAGTATAGTCAATAGAGTTAAGGTTGTGTTTGTTAACGATATGAGAGCTGCAGAAACAGAACTACTTGAAAAGTTTGAGAAAATGTATGGTGCTCCCACGAAAGGTAAAGAAACGTTTGAAGTAGATGAGATAGATAGTGCTATAAAATTATTTGACGAAGTTGCTGAAAAATACATGTAAAGCGTTTATTTTTGGTCTTTTGTGAAAGTCAGAAAATAACGCTAATTTTTTATAAAATATTTTTTTTATTTTGTATGTAAGGACAGATATGACAACAACAGAGAACACAACAACAGTTATAGTCCATGAAGACATAAATGAAGAATACGAGTGGGTTCAGTTTAACAAACAGTTACGTCTCATTCGTTCGGTCAAAGACGACATGTACCAAATGCAAAGTATTTTGACAGCATGTTTTGCTCCAGATACCAAACATACAGACGATTGGTTCAAAAACCAACAGACAAAAGAACTTTTGAGCGAAGCACAGCGACCCCGACTTTTTCCGGGGTCGCCAAAACTCTATGAAAATCGTAAAAATTTGCCAAATGGTTTGAGAGGTTGGTATGTACATAGACTTCTTGTAAATGCTGTTGCAATGTGGGCTTCACCTCGTTATGCTTGGTATATTTTCATGATGTTAGATGAAATTCATAGACAAGAACGTGAAGAGATGGAAAACAAGCTTGAAGCAAAAGACAAAAGCCTTCAGAAAAGAATACCACGTTCGGTACCAAAAGGAAAGGAAAAGAACTATAAGTATATGATTTATACTGAAGAGATGGAGAAAGAAGAAGACAGAGATATGGTTATGTTGCATTTAGTCAGAAGAAACAACAAAAGCTTTTACGACCTTGCTAAGATTTACAAATCTGACAGAAATTGGTTCTATCGCGAAAACTTACCGATTTCAATGACACCAAATGAAGATGTGAAACAAATAGTTCAAGATACTTTACCTCAAACACACTATGATATTAAAGGTTGTACAATACTTACTTTCAAAGAAGATTTGCCGCTACTGAAAGAAAAAATAACAGAGTATTTTGACAACTTCAAACAAGCAGAGTAGATGAACCATTTATTTTTGGTCTTGACTTCAGATGGCTCAGGTAGCTCTATAAGGTAAATTGCCTTGTCAAATCCTTCTGGCATTCCGAGTCCTTCCTTCTGGCATTCCAAGTTCTTCCATCCGACATTCCGAGTCCTTCCTTCCAACATTCCAAGTCCTTCCTTCCAACATTCCGAGTCCTTCCATCCGACATTCCAAGTCCTTCCTTCCAACATTCCAAGTCCTTCCTTCCAACATTCCGAGTCCTTCCTTCCAACAAGAAAAAAATTTCCCGACAACTGGAAAAAAATTTCCTGACAACTGGAAAAAAATTTCCTGTTGTTCGTCCGTAAACAATTCAAATTTTCGAAAATTGAGAACTTTTTGGTCGAACTTCAGAAAAAGTTTTTCCTTCCGACAGAAAAAGTTTTTCCTTCCGACATTCCGAGTCCTTCCTTCCGACATTCCGAGTCCTTCCTTCCGACATTCCAAGTCCTTCCTTCCGACGTACCACCAACCGAGTCCATTCCAAAGCCAGAAGAACCGAAAGCTGCAGAACCACAACAGACTAAGACTAAACACTTAGATTTTTCAAGCTTGACTTTTTACAATTTGAACTTTGTTTGCGTAGATATGAATTCTGAAAGAAGTATGAGGGTCTTGTATGACTTTGTACTTCTCCCATAGTTCATGTCTGTCAAACTTACCTGCCATGGACTCTTTCATAAGTTCCATGAAATCGTCTTCGGACAATCCGGGGAAAAGTACAATGTCAGTAAGTATTCTCTTTACATCCTTACTTAAACTCTTGGCTGTCTGTACACAAATGACAACAGAGATGTTAAAGTGTCTGAGCTTCTTAAGAATTCGACACATGTCTTGTTCTCTGTTCTTTAACAAAGGATGAGAGGCGAAATCATCTAAGATAAGAAGACATCTGTGAGGGTAAGTCTTCCAATCGTAAGATTGCAATTTCTTCGAAATGTATTCTATCTCTTTCTGTTTGTTTCTGAAGTGTTTCTTCTCTAATATTCTCTGCATTTCCTCATTTGGGTCTTTAAACTTCGAATTTATATACTCATTTATAGCATTGTACTTCAAAACTCTTCTTTGGTACTTCTTTATCCAATCTAACAACTCAGAGTCTTTTATACATACTAACTTAGACTTCTTTATAATATCTTTGAACGAATTGACGGTTTGGTCAAATTGACCAGAAGTACTACAAATGACAACTAACTCATAGAATGGGTTCTTCTCATCTAGTTCTTGTTGTTGTGCAGCCATTTTAAGATAAGTGAAAGTCTTACCCGACCCAGGCGGTGCAATTAGACCTGTTATACCATTCTGAGCAAATAAGAACTTGTCATGTATGGGTTTTATCTGAGCATTTTCCAATTTCACCTTGTTCTTATTTAAAACATTCTCAAATTTTTTGTCAATGTCAGCAAACTTTTTTTCTAACATATTTTTAGAAAAATTAAAATTTTTATCTTTTAGAAAATGTCTAGTGATTTCGCCATCTATATTCGAGACAAACTTTTCGACAGCAAAACATCTGTCGACCATAAAATCTTACATAGTGTAAACAAGAAAGGTGAATTTGTTCTAAAGTTCTGTTTCTGGGAATATGACAAGAACCATAAAACATTAAGCAGAGAAGTCTTAAAATTTGTCAATGACAGACTTGTTGACAGAGATGACGCCTCTTGGAGAGATGAAGTCCAACAAAACTTCTTAGAATGCAAAGAAGACACATGCACTGTTCTTGAAGATGAAATAGAAAACAGAATAGAAGAGCTATTAAAGGACAAAGAACTTTTACAAAAATATGGTTCTGAGAAATTTGACATAACTCCACCAGAAAAGAAGAAGAGAGAAAAGAAAGAAAAGAAAGTAGAAGAAGAGAAGAAAGAACCAGAGCCAGTTCCAGAGAAAAAGAAATTTGACATGTAAAAATAAAATTTTATTTTTAGAACATTTCTGGGTCAATGTCAATGTTCTCTTCCTCTTTAGGAGCAAACACTGGCTTAGACTCTAAAATCTTTTTACCCAATTTACCTTGAACTTCTACAACTTTAGACTCATAATATTCATAGTCGTCTGCTTTCTTTGGTTCATAAGGTATAACAAGTTTGTATGCTTTGCCTTCTTCGAGTTTTGAGAACCTTCTGTCAAAACTTTCTTTGACTGCTAACAAACCTTCTATGTCTAAGTCTTCAAATTTCGCACCATTTTTAGTCACAATAGCAAACTTAACTGGTTCGATGTTCCAAACTTTGCTGAATGAAGACTTTTCAAAATGGTAGAAGTAAACATTCAAATATGTGAATGGGTCTAGTTCTTCTTTAAGTCCTGACATGTACTTGTTTACTGAGATGAATTTTGTCATCTTTTCTATCGGATAAAAAAAATATTTTTTTTAAAAATTTACTCAGAAAAATTTTTCTTTGTATATACACCATTCTGAACATCTAAAAGACTTTTGACATTTGCCAAGAATGTTCGTTTAGACGCTGTCATATAACCATACTCTTGACAATATTGTTTATACGAATCGTACAATGACCTTTCATCTAAACACTCAAAGTCAGTTTCATCTATGAACAGTTCATATACACTCTTGTTTGCTTCTAACAATGTTTGTCTCTCTTCGGTATGTGGAATTTGTCTTGGATTGAACTTTGAAATATCTAATGTCATAAAATATGAGAACAAGTGGTTGTAAAAGTCAGATGTCAAAGTTTCTGCTAAGTCGTCAAAATATTCTGTATCTTGCATATGAGCTTCTGACGTTCTGACAACTACATATCTTCTGTCAGAACTTTCTAACTTCATCGGAACAGCATTGTTTGAAACCATAATGAAATTTGCAACATTTTCACAAACTCTTTGGTCTTTATATTTTCTTTCAACAACTCCAACTTTGTCTGTTATAAGACTCTTCAAAGCATCTGAGTTCAAAACTTTTGTTGTATCTATACTTTGAAGTTCGTTACATACTATAAGTTTCATATTCTCTATTGAAGAGTTAAATTTACCGCAGATGTTTTCTAAGTTTGTCATATTCGGGTTCGAATAACCTTCTAACAGTTTGCACAAAATATCTGTAAAGAATGTGTTCTTACCTGTTCCTTGTTTTCCAATTATAATGAGAGCAGTTTCATTTTTAGCACTTGGATGTTGTAAGATGTTTGCAAACCAACATAAGATATACTCATAGACTCTTTCGTTTCCATTGCATATAATTTCTTTGACATGGTCTAACCAAGCTTCTATAACATTTTCTTTCCATTCTACTTGTTCGTATTTATATCCAGTGAAGATAGAATAGAAGTTTGGAGAAGGTGTATAGAACTTTATACCTCGAACTGAAAAATCTTCTAACTTTGACAATAAGATATCCCAAGCATCTAACATCTTCATGCCAACTTGTACGACTTTTATTTTCTTAAGTTTCTGTTTACATTCTTGTTCTGAAACTATTGTCGCTTTAGGTTTGTTAAAGACTACATCCCATTCTTTCATAACATAACATTCTGGGGCAGAGTCGACATAAATGACTAAACGTTTCAAATTCTCGACTGCTTTGTTATAGTCTCTAAATGGACACATATTTCTGAACGCTTGGAAGTCATAAAAATCTGAAACATCTATTCTGTACATTTTTATAAAAATAAAAAAAAATATTTTTTTTTATTCTTGAGCTATTTGTTGCATTTGTTGTTCTTGAGCTATTTGTTGTTGAAGTTGTTCTTGAGCTATTTGTTGTTGAAGTTGTTCTTGTAATACAATACTTTCACCAGTTGCATCTTCCAATTCGAAACTTTCTGCCGTCATTGACAAATACATAGGACATAAAAGTTTTACAGGAACAAAGTTTGCGTCAACTAAGGTTAAGTTTATGTTTGCTAAAGTGTTTGAGTTTACTAAAGCTGAAAACTCTGCATTCGAATGAACAATAGGCAAACCAGCAGAGAAAGTGTTGTTTATACGCATAAGTATCTTTTGGTCATAGTAGTTTCTGTCGACATTCGAATAACACTTTGAACCTAAGTTTGAAACAATATATAAAATAGGTGTACTTAAAGTCAATGGAACAGACATTCCTTGTATGACACCTTTTCCTGTTATAGGAAACTGTTGGTAGTAAAAACCAGATATAAGTTTTGTATTATAGCTCATATTGTTTATAGTAAACTCAGTCGGACATCCAAACATAATGAAACCTGCTCTAGTTGCAGCACATGTTACACTCGTCCTTAAAGTATTAAATAAGTCAACAAAACCTGTTGGTGGTATATCTGAGTAAGTATCTTCAAAGGAGTATTTTTTACCATTCACAACAATAAAATCTTCTGGTGTCAAAAGAGCAAAACAGGCTTTAGTCGTCATTGTGTTTAAAGTTAGTTTACAATATCGTCCTTGAGGACTTTGTAAGTTTGTTGTTATAGAATTATATGACTCAGGGTTTTTAGTCGTAATAGTATAAACCATTGTGTCTTCTGCCATTTTACTTAGCAAATAAATTTTAATGAAATGTTGTGGTCGTCAAATATTTTTATAACGTCTGGGAAACTATATTTTAAGTTCAACGTTTCACCTCCTTTCATAACGTATATCTTGTCAATGACATTATATGAAAACACCACAGCAACTAACGTCGGGTTCTATTTCTTTGATGTTTATATCGTCTGCCTCTGTCAAAAGTTTCAATAGTTCTTTCAAAACTTCATGAGGTGCAATGACATATGAGTTCACTTTTACAGGGTTGTGTTCGACCAAGTTTAACATTATACCTAAAGCTTGACAAATCTTCTCCTGAGTTTGAAGTTTGTTTTTCAGTTGTTGGTAGTCATTTCGAATATCTGCAACAGAACTTAAGTCTCTGCTAACTTCAGGGTATGTTGGTTGTTCTTACAGGAACAATTGTTATACCATCTTCGTCTTCGTATGTTTCCCCACTTCAACATCTCTTTCTTTGACATTGACAATAACACTTTGACTGTTTGTTTGAGTTGGTGAATTTAACTTCACATCTGCACGCCATTAAACCTTTTGAAACACTTACGCTTCTATTTTTCGGAAATGACATTTTACTTAGAATAAAAAGATGGACGTATTCGGATATCTCTTCGAATTGAAGCAAGAACAAAGTTTACACACACAAACAATACAAATACATTGACAGAAATAGTTCTTTACACAAACAATGGAAAATGTTATAGAATAGCATCTTTGCTGAACCAAAAATATTTTTCATAAAGCAAGAGAAAGTTGGTATAACTGAAAATGGTGAAAGTTCTTGAAGCAGACAACAAAAATATAACAACAAAACTTACAGATATTTCTAAAGGTAAGTTTATAATACAATTTTATGTCAAAACTGGCGTACTGTCAATATTTGACGGAGAGAAGTCAGTTCAAGAACAACTTACTGACCTGCTGCCAAAATCTGCTCGATGGAAGCTGTCGTTATGCCAATCTGAGGAGCCCCAGCAGGTTTCATCGAACGAATCTTCAAAAGAGCATCTTCCGTGAAAAGTGCTATTGGTTTTGTAAACTTCTTTGCTTTCAATTCATCTGGACCGTCTCTGTCACCAGTATATTGTATTTGTACAGTACCAACAGTTGAAATACCACCCATAAAGTCTTCTGAGTCAGCAAATGGAATGCCAAGCCAAAAGTTTGAACGGTCTCCATTTGTATATTGAGTTTTTTGACCTCCTGTATGAGTCCATACTTTCACATATGGCATAATAGAACTTTGCATTTCAGGGTTAATGGTTGTTGTGAAGTTGTTGTTAAAGTTCATAGCATCTAATGTCAAGTTGTATGACCTCATATCCTCAACTGTAGAATATTCTTCTCTTGGATAATATTTGCCATCTATGTTTATATGATATTTAATACCGGGGTTGTAGAAACAAGAATAGTCATTTATAGTTCGTCTGAAAAGAACAAACATAGTATCTGCATGTTTCATTGCAGTTGTTAAAGCAATATCTGTTCTTGCACCTGGGTCAGCACTTTGGTTTCCAACTTCACCTGCAAAGTCTTTGACAGATATTTGGTGTATAGTGAACATAAGTGGAACTGCAATATATTTGGCAGCTAAAGCATTTGAAATATCTGGGTCCAACATATAGACTGCAAGTCTGCTTTCTATTCTCTTGCATTCAAACTTTTCGCATGTGAACTTAACTGGGTCCCAAGCAGTATTGTTGTCTGCTGTTCCTGAGAAGTAGTAGTTTACTTCATTGTTGAAGTTTGAGAAACCAAAGTCTAAGTCAACTTTGTCTTTGCACCATTTTCCAAATGGTATGCTGGCAGCTCCACCAGCTGTATCTGTAAGAGTGAATGGGTCTTGTGTTGGTGCAATGACTAAGTTATTTTTGCTTGGAGTAAGTTCGATAGAAATTTTTCCTGCCCAGTTTGGCAAGTATCTTAAAAACCTGAAGATGAGGAAAGATGACAAAGGAACTCTAAGTTTCAGTTTTACTTTGGTTACTGCTGCTGCAGTTTGTCCAGAAAGGTCAACATAAACTCCTGGAACGTTAGGGTCAAGTTTTCTTATTTTCTCAATAGTTGCATACTGGTCTGTTTGTTCTCTAGCTTGTGGTTGTACTGAGTTTCTCAAAGCGAACCATTCATAGTTTGCCCATGTTACTGTTTGAACTAAGTCAGAGTTAGAATATATCTTATATCCCATGAAAACTTCTGGAGCATATTGGTATCCGACATAGAAAATTCCATTGCAACCTTTCTTGTCAGACAACTTGGCAGAAGGTTTTATTTCAATGTCTTGTTCCACGTATAAGAATGAGTTGTCAATAGAAATAATGTGAAACCTGTCGCAAGCAATATCTACTGTTGTTGAAGAACCTTCTCCAAACTCACCTACGTTTCCATAAGAAATAGCAGTTGTATATTCGTAAGTTCCAGGAACTATTTCTGACCTTCTAATGGCATTGTCGCATTCGTTATACCATTCGGAAACATTTCCGTTCATGGCATCCAAAACTGTTGGCGTTATATTCTGAGCGGCGTACATTTCATATGGGTAAAAATATAGAATAGTTGGATTTATTTGTCATAATAGAACCCACGTGGACCAAGCTTTACTTTCTTCCTGGCTGAGTTTTTAACTCTTCTTTTTCCTTCATTGCCACTACTTTCACTAGATGAAGTTACTTCTTCACTACTTTCACTTTGTTCTACTCTTCTCTTCTTCTTTGGTGTCGCTTTTGGTAACTTGCCCTCTGCTTCAAGTTGTTGCATCTTTGCATCATGTTCACCTAGTATGTTGTAAATTTCCCATGTCCTTTTTGCCTTTAGGCTCTGGTCGCCCATCTCAGGTATCCTATATCCTAGAAAGATTTCGTCATAGTTTGTATTTGAGTCTTCGCGTATTGTTTGCATGACTCTTTCCTGAGTTTCCGGTTCAAGCTCTTCAAACAGAGCTTGTCCATATGGAATAAGCTCGTTTCCAAATATATGTTTTTGTAGCCATTCTGGTTTTCTTTCCATGTTACCAACAATATCTTTTGTGAATGGGAAAGCTTTTACCCAACGTTTCAGGCTTGGGTCATTTATTTCTGTAGTTGGTTTTATTTTGTCAAGGAACATGTTTTTCAATACTAACATTTCATTTGGTACTGTCCATTTGAGTTTTCTTAAATATTCATCCCTTCTCGGTTCATTGTCTGCAAAGTAAGTTTTTATGACATTTTGCAAACTTTCGTTTGCAAGGTCATGTACAATAGGTTCTCTTCCTTCTCTCTCCCTAACTCTCTTTCTAAACTCTTCACCAAATATACCATCTCTATGGTTCTGTGTAGTTCTTTGAGATAAATGTTTTAGAACGTCAGGTGTTATATTTCCATCAGCCATGTTCATTTCATACTGGTTCAAAATATCTGCATCTTTCATATCTTTCAATGGCATTAAAGCCGCGCTGAAAATACCAGCTAAATCTGGTTCACCATTCATTTCCATTGCGTCTACAACATCTTGGAATTGTGGTTGTAAGTTTATGAACCACCTATCCGGGTTAGCTTTATGACCCCATCTCATTGTAGTTCCATAGTCTGCAGAAACAAAAGTAGGTTTGTTTCCATATTGGCTAGGTTCTGAATGAACTTTAAACAATGTTTCATTTCTATATGTTTTGTTGAAATTTAACCTTTTATTTTCACCGAGTTCAGCCAAAGATTGAACGTTATATGCTCGTAAGTAAAAAGGGTTGTTGTATTTGTGTACATTTTCTTTCAGTTCTTCCATTCTATGCTGAATATTTTCATCTGATGTTGGAGTCTTTTGTATGTCGGCAAACATTTTTCGATATTCTTCTACCATGTCAGCCGAATTTTTCTTAGACTCTTGGAAAGATTCCATATTCACCTCATACTCTTGTTGAGGGTCAAGATTTTTCGGCTGTTCCAAATCTTCATCTAGTTCTGTGAAGTTAGTTTCCAAAGGAGGGACTTGTTCGTTTCCTTCAGGCTCTTCTAGCTGTTGTTGCTGAACTATTTCTTCCATGTCTGGTTGTATCTGAACTTCTTCCTGTGGAGTTTCTTGTACCTCATCTGCTGGCATTTCATATATTCCGAGACCGTTTTTAACAAGTTCCCTATCTAAGTCATCCGGACTCATAAACCTTTCTTCTTTCGTTCCGTCTTTATTTTTTACGCGTTTCATGAAGAGAGTTGAATTGTCATTTAGCTCTGACACCAAATATCTCGGAGTAAATTCAGTCATGTCATTTGGATGATATGCTATTAAATCATATCCCTTAGCGAGCTTGTATTTTCCAGGTTTGAAATTATATCCCATTTGGTGCTGAACCATAAAGCTAAATAGGTTCGGGTCAGTATTTCCTTCCTTGAACTTTCTAATAGCTTCTTTATATCTGTCACTAAAGTCAAGAGTATCTGGGTAACCATAGTCTTCTTTAAGCATTTTTAAGAAATCTTGGTTTCCTTGTTCTCTACTTCTTT